GTTGTGTGGTCTTCAGGGATGAAACAGAAGTGTCGGATTTTGGAAAATTGATTTTGAGTTTACTCATGGCAGTTAGAGTACAGGCAACAAACCAGGGGACTTATCTTCCTCTTGACACCGTCTGTTATTTACAAAAAAACACCTAAATATACTTGTTATTGTGCTTCTGTCTTTCTGTGTTTTTTCATCTGTAAACTCCTTCACCCTCTCTCTCTTCTCTTGATCGCCCTCTCTCAGGAGAACACCTCACTGTCCCGCTTCATTGTAGGATTTCTGCCATGTCTCTACTTCAGTTTGACCATCTCTGTTATGAAGTTATGGAATACTAAATAAATAAGTAATTAGATACCGTACCGTTACTGCGCTCATAAAGAATGATAAGAATAAGAATTAAAGCTGCAAGCAGCGTTGAGCGGGTCTTCGACGCTCCGCAGGTTGTTGTCCGCACGTCGAGGTGTGTGTGTAGGTGTCTCGAGGACTCGGCCATTGGCAAACGTGGGAAGTTTCAGGCCGATCGGACAATGTATTTAGGAGTTACAGCAGTATCATAAACATTGTGTTTGATGGCGAGTGATCTGTCGCCATGGCAACGGAATTTGATGACACCCCATAATACGCCTAGATGTGTTGAGGGCTGCATCGTTATCAAGCCTGTGAAGTTTTGTGCCGTTTGGAGCATGTTGACTGGAGTTATGAGAAAACCGTGTTTCACGACGACCATTTTGTTACCATAGCAACGACTTTTGATGAAATCTCAAAACTGACAAATATATGTCTCGAGGACTTGACGGTTAGCACACATGTGAAATGTTAAACCATTTACACAGGAGTTATAGCAATATGGTGGTTAACGGCAAGGGATGCGTTGCCATGGCAACAGCTTTTGAGGAAAACTCACTAGTGTCATATTGAGGTGTTGAGGGCCGGACCATTAACTGTCATCGGAAGTCTGGTGTAGTTTGGACCATTTTCCATTGACTTAAGACAACATTGTGTTTTATGGCGAGGGATCTGTCGCCATGGAAACGGCATATGATGACATCCCATAATTGGCGTAGAGCTGTTGAGGGCTGGACCATTAGCTATCATCTGAAGTCTGGTGCAATTTGGATCATTTTCCATTGACTTAAGACAACATTGTGTTTTATGGCGAGGGATCTGTCGCCATGGCAACGGCGGATCTGTCGCCATGGCAACGGCATATGATGACATCCCATAATTGGCGTAGAGCTGTTGAGGGCCGGACCATTAACTGTCATCTGAGGTGTGGTGCCGTTTGGACGATTTTCCATTGAATTAAGACAACATCGTGTTTTATGGCGAGTGATTCGTTCCCATGGAAACGGCATATGATGAGATCTCAGATTTCACGTAGAGCTGTTGAGGGCCAGACCATTAGCCATCATCTGAAGTCTGGTGCCGTTTGGAACCTTTTCCATTGAGTTAAGACAACATTGTGTTTTTTGGCGAGGGATGCGTTGCCACGGAAACAGCATATGATGACATCCCATAATTGGCGTAGAGCTGTTGAGGGCCGGACCATTAGCCATCATCTGAAATCTGGTGCAGTTTGGATCATTTTCCATTGACTTAAGACAACATTGTGTTTTATGGCGAGGGATGCGTTGCCATGGAAACGGCATATGATGACATCCCAGAATTGGCGTAGAGCTGTTGAGGGCTGGACCATTAACTGTCATCTGAAGTCTGGTGCAGTTTGGAACCTTTTCCATTGAGTTAAGACAACATTGTGTTTTATGGCGAGGGATGCGTTGCCATGGAAACGGCATACGATGAGATCTCAGATTTCACGTAGAGCTGTTGAGGCATGGACCGGTGATATAAAAGTGAAGATTGGGGGACGATGGGACCGTGTCCATTGGAGTTACAGCGACACCGTGTTTTATGGCGAGGGATTCGTCGCCATGGCAACGGCATATGATGACATCCCATAATTGGCGTAGAGCTGTTGAGGGCCGGACCATTAACTGTCATCTGAAGTCTGGTGCAGTTTGGAACCTTTTCCATTGAGTTAAGACAACATTGTGTTTTATGGCGAAGGATGCGTTGCCATGGAAACGGCATATGATTACATCCCATAATTGGCGTAGAGCTGTTGAGGGCCAGACCATTAGCCATCATCTGAAGTCTGGTGCAGTTTGGACCATTTTCCATTGACTTAAGACAACATTGTGTTTTATGGCGAGGGATGCGTTGCCATAGAAACGGCATATGATGACATCCCATAATTGGCGTAGAGCTGTTGAGGGCCGGACCATTAACTGTCATCTGAAGTCTGGTGCCGTTTGGAACCTTTTCCATTGAGTTAAGACAACATTGTGTTTTATGGCGAAGGATGCGTTGCCATAGAAACGGCATATGATGACATCCCATAATTGGCGTAGAGCTGTTGAGGGCCGGACCATTAACTGTCATCTGAAGTCTGGTGCCGTTTGGAACCTTTTCCATTGAGTTAAGACAACATTGTGTTTTATGGCGAAGGATGCGTTGCCATGGAAACGGCATATGATTACATCCCATAATTGGCGTAGAGCTGTTGAGGGCCGGACCATTAACTGTCATCTGAAGTCTGGTGCCGTTTGGAACCTTTTCCATTGAGTTAAGACAACATTGTGTTTTATGGCGAAGGATGCGTTGCCATGGAAACGGCATATGATTACATCCCATAATTGGCGTAGAGCTGTTGAGGGCCAGACCATTAGCCATCAACTGAAGTCTGGTGCCGTTTGGAACCTTTTCCATTGAGTTAAGACAACATTGTGTTTTATGGCGAGGGATGCGTTGCCATGGTAACGGCATACGGTGAGATCTCAGATTTCACGTAGAGCTGTTGAGGCATGGACCGGTGATATAAAGTGAAGATTGGGGGACGATGGGACCGTGTCCATTGGAGTTACAGCGACACCGTGTTTTATGGCGAGGGATGCGTTGCCATGGTAACGCCATATTAAGTAACATCAAATTTGACGCCGAGCTGTTCAGGGCCGTAGTGTTAACCATCATGTGAAGTTTGGTGGCGTTCTGAGTATGTCAGTTGGCGTTATGACATCATCGTGTTCCATGGCGAGGGATCGCCTAGCATCGAGCGAACGCGAAATTTGGCGCCAAATCACGGCTACGCCCTGCGAAAGAAAAAAACTTCCGTTATAACTTTGAATTGCCCATGTCTCGAGACGCTACCCGACGAATTTCGAGTCGTACGGATAAAGTCCCTGGGAGAAGATAGATTTCGTGCGGAGGACGAAAAACGCGATAAATCGCGTTTTTCCGACGCTACATTCAAAATGGCCGGCTTCCTGTACGTTATTTTATACCCCTCCAAGAGGCTTTTTGGTTTGTCTCCGCACCCTAGATATGCGTAGCGAGTTTCGTTCGTTTACGTGAAAGTTAAAGTGGGGGGAGTTTACGTTAAAAACGGAAGTGGGCGTGGCCTACGCAATTTTTTACGCAAAGTTCCGGAACCAATTACATATCGCAAGTTGCACCACTTCTGACGCGCGTGCAACATTTGGTGAGTTTTCACATATGTTGCGGGGGTCAAAGGTTTATCGGTCGCTGCGCGACCGATTTCAATAGGGTCTTCGCCGACCTAGGTCTCAGACCCTAATAATGTGAATTGAACTGGTTTCATTAATTAGTGAGTTTATTTAAGGTAATCAGTTAGAAGCCCTATTTTATCAGTAGGCTATGTCTGCACAGCAGTTACAATGGTCAAACTACATTAAAACAGAATTGTCCCCATACTATTCATGTGAAGTTGCTTCTTTTACAAATTATTGAAATGTGCCACCCTGTTCCCCTGATTGGACACCCCACCAAATCATTCTGACCTGCCCCTGCATCCAGCACATTTTGAGCGAGTTTTTATCTAACCCAATCTATTATGTTCGTGTCTTAGTATTGCAAATAAAAACACCCAATCCATGCGCCAGTTGACAAAGTAAAAATATATAATGGAGTGGATGAATTACTTCTAATAAGTGTAGTACTAAATTCCTACTCCCTTGACTTCAATAGCTCTTCATATTTCAGCAATATTTCAGTTTATGTTCACAATTTTCCGCACATTCAGAACATATCCCAACATATCAGTGTTCTTTGAGCAGATGTAAATAGAGTCAACGTATTTTGGGTATAACAAATCAAATCAAGTTTTATTTCACATTTAAAAGCGATTTTTGGTAAGGATTGTAATGATAATAAACTAAGATTGTAAGGATAATAAAATCCTAATTTATCAGCCCTATTGTGTGTTGTAGCCTGTGACGTGGAAGCCTTTACCCTGAAAGCATACAATAAAATCTCTGAGCGGTGCTGGCACTGACCTTCAGGGGCCCTACACAGAACAAGGGGCCCTCCTATCCGATCCGATTAAAACTGTTTGTTGCATCAGTCGGTCTAAGAATCAGCATCAGGCCCACTCCTACTGACTTCCCCTGATTACTTTTTATACATTTTCAATGATAAAATACTATGTATTCTATGGCGTGGCTAAATGCTTGATGGTTATTAAATACTCAGATATGAGCATATATGCCAAGCATGCCCAGCTAATGAAATATTATATATGTAATATTTATTCAATAGTCAATGTTAATCCGCTTCTTTTCATCTTGCATAAGTTCACAGTTGTAACAAAACTTTGAATAATGCGGGTGAAGCAGCCTGTCACTGAAGGAGCTGCACAGTGCAGATAGGGTGTCCTGGAGGGGGTGGGATATATTGTCCAATAGTGATTACAGCTTTGCCATCACTCCCCTGTCCCCCACCAACTCCAGTGTCCAGAGGGCTCCCCAGGACAGCGCCACCAATTCAACTCATTGACTTAATTTCTCTCTTATCAAGGAGCTTATTTAGCAGCATATGAACAGGCAATTTATTGTGGATTAATCCTGCTAAAACTTGTCAGAACCTATGCCATATTAAAGTGTGTAACCTGATTCTGTTCATTGTTTTCATTCACCTTTAACACAGGGGTGCAAAGTACACAACCAGGAGAGGCAGGGCTAAGCGCTGAGCTTCACTTTTAAAGCAAGTCAACCGGCTTACCTCTTTACTTCAGTCCATTCCACCATGTTTGCTTCAATCCTCCTGCTATGTGCCTTTGTGGTCTTCATCCTCCTTCAACTCAAATCCCGGAGGCCCAAAAACTTTCCACCGGGACCCTCTCCCCTTCCAATACTTGGGAACATTTTGGAACTGAGTCTAGATAACCCCCTGAAGGACTTTGAGAGGGTAAGAAACACTCAATCAAACAAATGATATTGTGCTTCCAATGCTTTAAATCGTTCTGGGATTGTGGTTTAAACTGTAAATAGTACTTTTTGTCTGGATTTGTTCAAGACTTGTGGCCACTGTGCTGCTTTTTCTGCTAGTGAGTTTCAAGAATTACTGTGGTGCTGCACTGTGAGACTATGAATAACATATTTTGGCTATTAGTGTACAATACATGTGAAAGCCACTCAAATCAGTGCACTCTATACAGAGCTTTCCAGTGTATAGATTACTAGAAACAGGCTTTTCAGACACTGCTAGTGATTACATAACACCATGCCTATGTACAGAGGTAACCTTCTGTACACTTGGACTATAGCCAACCAGTGGTACAGGCCATACATATTGGGCGTTTCCTAACTTACACACAATAGAGTGCCACAGTGACGCGTCCAAAAACCCGGACGTAAGTTAGTATTGTACCACTTCCGGTTCTTTCGACAAAAAAGCAATGCAATTTCTCCATAGGAGTTTGGAAAATAGCTGGAAATAAGTTCTGTGTATGACACACATTTAAGAGATGGATCACGTTTTGTTCTACGACATTAAATACATCAGCAGTGAGCCCACTGGTGATTTTTGAAGTGTTTACGTGTCTGAGAGGCCGTTGTACGTCATTACGCCGAACACGTAAACACTCCCTCACACTGTCATATTATCCTTTTTGTTTTTTATCTTGTTCATTTCCCTAAATGTACCTGTATTGTTAAAGATGGAAATTAGTGGAGAAATATGTTTTTGTTTTACTTTGGTGAAAAAATCTTATGTATGTATTTCAAACACTGACATGTTATCTTTTTGTCCCCCAGCTGAGGAACACCTATGGAGATGTGTACAGTGTGTTTCTCGGTACCAAAGCAGCTGTTGTCATCAATGGGATGAAGGCCATGAAGGATGCTATAGTGACCAAGGGCATTGATTTTGCTGGAAGACCACAAGATCTGTTTGTCAATGACAGCACTGAGAGAAAAGGTAAAACAGATATGATGTCACATAGGGCAGATATTGTATCACTAAACTTATTTTTTTTTTTTTTAAAGGCTGAAACACATTTGACAGTGATGAACCTATTTGTGACATCGGATGATGCGGCACTGGTGAATTGATTTTCCCCAAATGAAGTTGTTCCAACTGTTTCGTCATTCTAATTTAACGCTGTTTCAGTTAACTACCGATTTAATCCTTGTTCTTTTGGGGAAAGTCTTGGTGGAATTAGACACCATCCTATCTGACATCCCTGAAAACTGGCCCTTCGGTGACTGTAACATCAAGGCAGAGAAGTCATCTGACTTACTTCTTCTTCTCACCTCCTTTGCACTTTCACCGTCTAATTCCCACCTTCTTACAAAGCTGGCCACCGCCTTGATTTTGTTTTCACCAGAAACTGCTCTACCTCAAACCTCTTTGTAGCCCCCCCCCTTATTCATATCTTACTCTCTCCACTTATCCAAACACGACTAACATATCTCCTCTAATACTATACTTGTGTGACATGATCTTCACTCCCTCTCTCACTTCTCTCTGGCTTAATGTATGCTCCCAGGCGTCCCTACATCAGATTTTTTCTCAGTTATGCCTCCTAAATATGCTGCAAGACTGAAGTTCCCACACTACACCACTCGATTGCTTCCTTCAATGGTTACCAGTGGCTGCCCAGTCTATTTTAAGAAGCTAATACTGATGCTGTGAATGGATCCGGTACTTCCTACAACATGTGCACTTGCTTTGCATCAGCCAATCAAATCCTTAATCCATCACTGTGACTAGGACGAAGGCCACCTTAACGAAAACACACCTGTTTTTATCCTGGCTTGAACATGACATAACAAGCTTCCCAGTGATATCAGAACACATACAAGTCTACAGATCTTCAGTTGCAGACTGAAAATCCACCTGCTTAATTAATTAAAATATATATAATTCTCACTTCTGTACCTAGCACTTAGAAAGGGTTGGCTTATTTGAAGCCAATGTGGTTGCACTGACAATGTTTTGTCTTATTGAAAGTTAAAAGGGACCTATCATGCAAAATGTACTTTTTGATGTCTTTTAAACATAAATATGTGTCCCCGGTGCGTCGGGGAACTCACGCAGCATCAGAAAATAAAACCCTTTCTCTTTTCCTCCGTACCCAAATCTTTTAAAAACGGGGGTACAACGAGCGGATACAGATTTGCCGCTGATATGACGTCAAATCGGCGGCGGACCCACAGAGAGTTGCTATCAGAAACAATGCCTGACGTGTTTTGGACGTAATCTCGTCTTTGTTTACATTAGCAAGCCTCGCTAACACTCAGAGCTAACCTGTACTGGAGAGCACATGTGTTTAAAGAGCAGGAAATAAAAAAAGGAACTCACCTTGTGATAAACCCGCAAGAGAAAAAGCATTTGAGCTCCATACTGTTTCAGAGATAATCCTTGATGTGGTTTAGAACAGGATGGCATTTTATGACAGCAGAATTTAACTTTATCTCCAGTAGAATTCTGATCAGGCATTAGCTCCGCCTCCTCTTTTTTTTTTTTTTAAACTAAGGACCCAAAATCCGCGTTTCTCTAACAGGGCTGGAATAGAGGGGTATGAGCAGTATGAGGCATGGCTACAATGGGTGAACTGTTTGGTATTTTAAACAAAAAACTTCACAGACATGTTTTGTATAGGTATGGCCCTACAATATATTTTTCCAATATAGCATAATAGGTCCACTTTAATATACTTTCAGGATTCTTGCGTTTTTTTATTTGTTTCTCCATGGTTCAATGCACTTTTTGTAAGTTGCTTTTGATAAAAAGCCTCAGTGATCTGTGAGTTCACACTCTGTGCTCTTTTTGCCTCTTCACATGTTATAGGATTAATTATGGCAGATTATGGCCCGCGTTGGAAGGATCACCGTCGCTTTGCTCTTATGACTTTAAGGAACTTTGGTCTTGGGAAGAATTCCATGGAGGAGAGGATTCATGGAGAGATTAAATACATTACTGATGATCTGGAAAAGAGCATTGGTATGTCATCTGGGGGTCCACTATCCTTACTTGTATGGTAGGGTTAACCTTAATCAGTGGCACCACAAATTCTTGATGATTATAATACAAAGTGGATTTTGATTTACGTCATACATTTCCATTAATGTTGTTGAATTCTGCTCTGTGGTTGTTAGTTTAATCTTTCTTTGTATTTTTGCGTTTTACATTTTGTCTTTTTCAGGCAAATCCTATAGTCCTCAGCTCATGTTTCATAACGCAGCCTCCAACATCATCTGCCAGGTCCTGTTTGGTCAGCGCTACGAGTATGACGATAAGTTCATCAAAGTGATTGTGAAGTGCTTCACCGATAGTGCCAAGTTAGCCAATGGACCATGGGCTATGGTGAGCCAAAGCATGTTTGGGCCTTTAAATAAGAGGAGTCTTACACTAAAATGTCTACAGCTTGCAGTGTTTCAGACTAAAAGCTTTTTAGCATGCTTTTGTATCGATGTTTGCCAGTTATAATGTGCCTCGTTAATTAAACCAAACAGAAAAGACAACTGAACCTAATGGAAGTGTCAGGTCTTGAAGATGGTTTCGAAGGAGATATTCTAATTTTGACCTTCTGAAACAGGTGGACATATCCATCCCTGCATTAGTTTGAAAAAAATTATGAAATATTGTATTGATCTTTTCTTTAACCTTACTTTAAACACATGTCAAAGCTGACACTATCCGAAAACAATGCTAAAATGTTGCTATATCTGCTGTTGTCAAGATACACAACTAAGCATCGTTTGACGGTCCTTTTAACATCTCTTCACTTCATTCCAGACAACCATGTGAATTAAAATGATCAGATGATAATGAAAAAGAAAAATAAACTGTGTGTGTACCATTTTAACCTTAATCGTTTGTTTATTTTTCCTTTTTTTCACAGCTGTATGACTCTTTCCCAATGATTCGTAGCCTACCACTGCCCTTTAGACGGGCCTTTAAGAATGTCAAGGTATGTAATCAGAGAGAGATTTAAATAAAATATAAAATATCTATATAAATAAATATAAAAATGGTACCATGGATTTTTCTGACACATATACAGTGACAACCCAAACATTAGGTGGTTTATAAAAAAAGAAATACTAAAAGTGTTGAATATTTACTTGAATGTTTTTCAGACGTGTCAGGATCTTGCGCTTACTGTAGTGCAGGAGCACAAGAAGACCAGAGTCCCTGGACAACCACGAGACATTGTTGACTCTTATCTGGATCGGCTGGATAAAGAGGTGTGTGTGTGTGTGCGTGGTGCTGGGTGGATAGTACCAGATACACTTCAAAAGTGTTTCTTTAGTAGGTGTGTGTGGTAGTTTCTATGCTCTGTAGGATATGTGGGTAACATTGACTTGTAATCCTGTTTGTCTTAAAAAAGTATCTTCTGCTCTTCCTAGAAAGGCGGTGATGCTTCTACCTTTTCAGAAGATCTGATGATTATGTACACTCTAGATCTTCACTTTGCAGGGACTGACACTACCTCAAACACCCTTCTTACTGGTTTCCTTTACCTAATGACCTACCCACACATACAAGGTATGCCTGCATATTTGAATGACTTGTATGTTCTATAGATCTTCCATTGATTGTCTTTTTACATTATATATATATATATATATATTTATGTCTCAAATCTCATCAACACCAAAAGCCAAAAAAGCAGAAATACCGCATTTACCTAGAGGTTAAAAGGAAAATGTAGAAAAAGTCTCTGCTGGAGGATTAAACACATTTTATCAAGTCCCAGCATGTACCTTCTGGTTGCGCAACATTGTAGGTTTGTTTGAAATAGGTATTTCAGCATGATTAATGAAGATGCACACGTGTTTTAAATGTTTTCATACACACCAAAATGGTACTTTAGTCCCAAAGGCAACATCAAAGATCGGCAGAAGTAATGTAGGAATTTGAGTTTGGTTTTCTCGCAAAAAAAAGTCTTAATAGCAACTTCAGCATTTAAAGAGGACCTATCATGCAAAATGCACTTTTTTAATGTCTTTTATACATAAATATTAGGGCTGTCAGTCGATTAAAATATTTAATCGCAATTAATCGCATGATTGTCCATAGTTAATCGCGATTAATCGCAAATTAATCGCACATTTTTTATCTGTTCTAAATGTACCTTAGAGGGATATTTTTCAAGTTTTTAATACTCTTATCAACATATGAGTGGACAAATATGCTTTATATGTTTGTTTATTATCATTTGAACAATGACAAATATTCAAAGTGTGTGTGTGTGTGTGTGTGTGTGTGTGTGGTGTGTGTGTGCGTGTGTGGTGTGTGTGGTGTGTGTGTGTGTGTGTGTGTGTGTGTGTGTGTGTGTGTGTGTGTGTGTGTGTGTGTGTGTGTGAGAGAATGTGGAGACACTGTGATGGATCGTTGGAGCTATGTGGAGCTCAAGGCATATATGCTCGAACGGGAGCTGCCTGGACGCTGCAATCATGTTGCGCGCACTATCCGTGCTGAGTGTGCTGACTTTTCGTACAATGTCCCACTGTCTGGCTACCTGCATAAAGTCAAGTGCTTGGCGAAATGTCGCTCCTCTGTTTTAATTGAAACAGCTCCTTATATCCGTTAGCGCAGCTAGCTAGCACCAGATGCTAACAACAACAACAACACGTAAGGTGTGCCTTGCTCGCCCCACACATACACACACCCTCCCGGTCCTCCCGATGGCCAGTCCAGGCCTGCCGGTGAGCGTGGAAGTGTGGTCTGCCACAAGCGGGCGGCAGGAGCGGGGCTGTCAGCATCAGCTTGTAGATGGTATTTTAAACTCGATGCGCTCTGAAACTACGGGGAGGCCGAGGACAAAAAATACACATGCGTTAATCGCGTTAAAATAATTAGTGGCGTTAACGCGTTATTAACGCGTTAACTTGACAGCCCTAATAAATATGTGTCCCCGTTGTGTCAGGGAACTCACGCAGCGTCAGAAAATAAAACCCTCTCTCTTTTCCTCCGTACCCAAATCTCTAAAAACGGGGCTACAACGGAGCTGATCCAGATTTGCGTCCGATATGACGTAATATCGTAAATGTAGGCTGGCTTTACACCCACGCCCCTATCAGAAACGTTGCTATCAGAAACAATGCCCGACTGTTTTGGACGTAATATGGTCGGTGTTTACATTAGCATCGCTAACACCCAGAGCTAACCTGTACTGGAGAGCATGTGTGTGAAGAAGCAGGAAATAAAAAGGAACTCACCTTGTGGTATAACCGGAAAGAGAGAAAGCCTTTGAGCTCCATACTGTTTCAGAAATAATCCTTGATAATCCATGATATGGCGTTTCATCACGGCAGCATTTAGTTTAGACAGTAGCTGCCGGGTCCCGCATGAGCTCAGACCCCTCCTTTTTTATCAATCTTTTTTTCTTTTAAGCTTTATACCTCAAATCAGCACTTTTGAAACAGGAAGTGAAATAGAGGGATATGAGGCATGGCTAGAATGGGTGATCTGTTTGGTATTTTGAGCAAAACACTTCATAGACATGTTTTTAATATATTTGTATATATCTGAGACCTATGCTATTGCCTAAAAATAGCATGATAGGTGACCTTTAAAATAAATGTTTGATTTTTCAGCTATGCACTCTGGAATGCATCATTGCACACGTCTACTTAAACGCTGCAGACTCCAAAACTGTAAATACAATGTAAAGAATAATCAGAAGGTTATTACTATGAGGTTGAAAGTGAAGAGGGTGTGGCTGAGTATGAGCATATTGAATGGTATAGACAACATTGTCACAGTAATAAGTGTAAATGTTAAGTAAGTTAATGCAAGTGCACACAGGTTCGCCTTTTCACCACCTTACTTTAATTTTCCGAGAGGAATCATTATCTATTTTATTGTTGTTATTATCATATATTTTACCTCCTGTGTCCTAACCCATTAAAATACTATTTTATGTTGCTATGACGCATGTTTTCAAAAAGGTCATAACATCTGATCTGAATGGGATTTCTTGTTTGTTAGAAAAGTGTGATGTGTGTCATATTGTAAAGCACTTTGAGCTACACCTGCTGTAAGATAAGTGCAATATAAATACATTTGTATTATTATTATTATTATTGAATTCACATTTCAGATATATTTCCAAGTATTATTATGTCTCTGCTGTTTCTCTCAGAGCGTTGTCAGCAGGAGATAGACGAGGTGTTGGGAGGGAAGGATCAGGCCAGTTTTGAGGACAGACACAACATGCCTTACGTGCAGGTAAGCCATTAGACAGATTCCTTCAATTTAATGTGCCTCTGAGCAGCGTATTTGTCAAACATTGACACAAAGACTAATCCCAATATATGCAGAGTGAAATTAATCAGGCATTAAATCTGGTGATAGAAGTCCTTTACGTTGGGGTCCTTGTGATAGATACATCTGAATCACTTCCTTTGAGCTACAATTATCTTTTTTTTTCCTGTTTGGTTTTTAAAATATTTAGGGACTGCTTTGTCGTGGCTGAGTGTCTGAGAGCTTGCATTGTTGTTCCTCTGGTGTAAAAAATCTCTTCTTCCAGGCTGTGATCCATGAAATCCAGAGGGTAGCGAACACTGTTCCACTGAGCGTCCCCCACTGTACGATTAAAGACACAGAGCTTATGGGATATTCCATTCCCAAGGTAAGAAGCAGCTGGTCTTAAATAGTTTTTTTGACAAAGGGACCATATAGTAATGTGTTGTGGAAACTCACTGCACTGTATCAGCATACCGCCTTGTAGGGAACAGAGTTAAACGTGACTTTACTGCTGAATCTCCTTCCCATTGAAGCTTAAAGATTGTAAGAAAACAGTCACATGTCTTTCAATTTATTGCAAAATACTTGAATAATGGTATAAAAACAATAGGCCTCATTAACCAAAATCCTCCTTCGTTCGTCTTGTTGTTCTTGAGAAGGGTTCCCTAAAACAAAAAAAGTGTTTCATGACTTAAAATGCAAATTGTATTTTTGAAATGGTTGGTGAAAAAAGAAATCTCCCTTCTGTACGTAGCCCTTAGAAAGGTTTGGCTTATTTGAATCCAATGCATTAGCACTTACAATGGTTTGGCTTATTAATAGCGATTGTATTTGCATTATTCCTGATTTTTGTATTTAGTTTCTTCATGGTTGAATGTAATTATTGTTAGTCGCTTTGGATAAAAGCATCAGCTAAATGAAATGTAATGTTCCTTATTTTCTCCTCAGGGTACACTGATCATTCCTAACCTGACCTCAGTGCTTAATGAGGAGGGACAATGGAAATTCCCCAATGAATTCAACCCTGAAAACTTCCTCAATGACCAGGGAGAGTTTGTTAAACCAGAGGCCTTCATGCCTTTCTCTGCAGGTATGTGAGCATTACAAAAATCAACAGTACAGGTCTCACTGTGTCACACCTGTAGTGGCATGCACAAATGTTGTAGATTACTTTGAGGTCTTCTTTTATGTCACAGGTCCTCGAATGTGTTTGGGAGAGGGTCTGGCTCGTCTGGAGCTCTTCCTCATCCTGGTGACCCTGCTGAGGAGGTTCAATTTCATCTGGCCTGAGGATGCAGGAAAGCCAGACTACACTCCAGTCTATGGCGTCACTCTGACTCCCCAACCGTATCACATGAAAGTCCAACTCAGGGAAACAAATTAAAGCCGTCTTCAGATAAACAGCAGACCAGAGGAGACCTAGATTGATAAAAACAGCTTTTAAATATTCGGAACAAATACAAAATCAACAATAGAGGGCTTTTTTTGCCAACCGTAATGGCTGTTAACAATACATATATTGAAATATGCCATAAAGGCGAGTGAGCATTAATGTTATAGCTGGCCTGCTGGACTTTTACATACATACCGTTACATTCAAGTCCTTTCCAAACGGTTTCACAAAACGCTGTTTAATCCTACTGCTACTGGGAAAGTATTTCTCAGTACACCAGATTTATGGTGTCTGCCGTTTGTGACCACAACCCACAATGGTGCATGTATTGCAAGGAGTATCATGAGGAGACAGGCAACATGTTAAGCTACCTATCATGTGGCCTCCACTGGTAGCGGGCTGCCTGAGCCACCAATCAAACCCAAAAATATTTCCTGATTACCCTACCTTACTTAACCTCACCTTAGCAATCAAGAAAACTCTTTATATTATATCAAAAATGATAAGCTTTCAACATGCTAATTTAAGACTACCTGTTATCAGTTGGTGCCTAAAAAGTTGCCCATACAATACTTCCTTGTGGTCCTTCTAATTAGCCCTAGGCCATTATCCTAAGACCTTTGCTGGAAATTACCCGTCTCAGCAACAAATGATTATCTACAGTTGCCTTTTCTCTGCCTTTAAAACTGTGGCTTGCACTGAGAGGCAATCCCTACATGTTGTGAATCTGTTCCAAGGTCAACAGCCTGGGATCCACCTCTGCTTCTGGTGACTCTCAGGGTATGCAATGAGTTCTCTATTCCCCTAATGGCTGTCTTTTCAGCCACTTGGTCTTTACTTAGGGGCTTTCCCAGCTGACATATGCACTGCAGTCACTAGCTGAATGCTAGCTATGACAGCTATCAATACACATACTTAATTAGGCCCATCAGGTAAAGGCACATTGTCAGTCATTTATTCAGCTGTATATCAACCATAGTCGTTATTATGGGAGATAAACTAAACATCGGACTTAAACACAAGAGACATCATCTTGTTTTTTAATTCAAAAATGTAAACGGGTATTTGAAAAGGGACGTTTATACCTTAACCACATATTTATAACCGAACTCATGATGTCTGTACCTTGGCAATGAAGTTATTGCTGAAACAAAAACGTACTTGTTGAGTAATTTAGGCCTTGTAACTAATTCACCACCTCTTACGTACGTAGGTATGATCTTGCTTGAAGTAAATATATCGCCACTTTCCTTGTTGTTTGGAGTTTGATTCTTTATGGTTTTTGCACTTATTGTAAGTTGCTTTGGATAAAAGCGTCAGCTCAATGAAATGTAATGTAAAATGATTCATCTTAATAAGATAGTATTCTTTAACCCAAACCATGATGTTTTCCAGAACCAAACAAGAAGTTTTTGTGTCTTAATGTGTTTTTTTAAACAAGATTTGGTATATATATACTTACTACCATTTACCTTTGTATTCAAATGACATACTTTGAAATGTTAAGCACTTACCCAAATTACATAGGTACTTTGATATGTACGTATACCTATTAACCTTTGCATCCAAATGTCTTTTTTGGATATGCAAACTTAGTTACTAAAATCACATGCTTTTATATGTAACTGATCTATATAAGATCAAATGTTGGTGGTCTTTCTGGCTATTTGTTCATGGTTTAAGTCTGGTGTGCAAGAGAATTTAAATGTTGTGCACTTTTAACAACATCAGTCTTTCCATTGTCTATCATTAAACACAAATACAATATTTAAATAAATACATTTCCAATGCGTTAGGGACTGCAAGTTCTTAACTGCAGCCTGCAAAACAGATACTGTACACTTAAAGGGGACCTATCATGCAAAATGCACTTTCTGATGTCTTTTATACATAAATATGTGTCCCCGGTGTGTCAGGGAACTCACGCAGCGTCAGAAAAATAAAACCCTCTCTCTTTTCCTCCGTACCCAAATCTCTAAAAACGGGGCTATAACGGAGCTGATCCAGATTTGCGTCCGATATGACGTAATATCGGAAATGTGGACCCACGGCACTATCAGAAAGTTGCTATCAGAAACAATGCCCGACTGTTTTGGACGTAATATGGTGCATGTTTACATTAGCATCGCTAACACTAAGAGCTAACCTGTACTGGAGAGCATGTGTGTGAAGAAGCAGGAAATAAAAAGGAACTCACCTTGTGGTATAACCGGCAAGAGAGAAAGCCTTTGAGCTCCATACTGTTTCAGAAATAATCCTTGATAATCCATGATATGGCGTTTCATCACCGCAGTATTTAGTTTAGACAGTAGCTGCCGGGTCCCGCATGAGCTCAGCCCCCTCCTTTTTTTTTTATCACATTTTTTTTTTTTTAAAGCTTTATACCCAAAATCAGCACTTTTGAAACAGGAAGTGAAATAGAGGGATATGAGGCATGGCTAGAATGGGTGATCTGTTTGGTATTTTGAGCAAAACACTTCATAGACATGTTTTTTATATTTTTTTATAGATCTGAGACCTATGCTATTGCCTAAAAATAACATGATAGGTGACCTTTAAAGCAGCAGTAACAACAATGTGTAAAAGTTAACAGCTTTAACCAATACACTAATATTGTCACATCCATCCTCAACCACTGTTTCTAGCATAAAGGAAGGTAAATCATGTGAACTTAAGCAGTTTTAGGTGATCACACTTGTCTTTTCCTCCTCATCGTTTGGGCATTTAGAATATTGTGTGTTAGTACAATATAATAACATTCATCAGACCATTTTATTATTAACACACTCGGCCTCTGCAGTGTTTTTAATCACAGGGGAAAAAAGATGACGACAACAGTTACTGAATGGCTCCCTCAAGTGGGCAATATTGGGAACAGGATTTTATGTTCAATGTGATTTTAAACACACAACAAGATGCTGACTGCAGTGGGACTCGAACTTGCTATCCCCTGATTCAAAGTCCAGCACTCTATCCACTGAGCCACAGCCACCCTTATATCAGTTGGTTTCTATTTCAATCATAAGATCAAAAAGAAGGCATCCATCTCATTGACTACATCTCAGACCCCCATTTTCTCAATTTAAGGTGATCTCTTCATGTAGTTCAACAAATGTTGGACAGAATGACCTAAATTGTGTTTGTTTCTCTTAATGGTAGTGATGTTTCTCTCTATAGTTGTTCAAAGATATCATATACTGTAGTTTGTAATAGTTTCAATTTGGAAAATTAAATAATGTATAAAAGATCTATTCAAGTTATCAGATCCATGCCTTATCATGCTCTGAATATGTTATTCTTTGGAATTCATCCACAACTTAAATATTTGTTTACAATAGAACAGTTAACTCTCAAAGATGTTGTTTGAACAGTGGGTCAGTATGCTTGTTATAGTTGTACATTTTGCTAGAGCAGTGCATTAAGCTGAGTGAAGAAAACATGAGCATAGAGCATTGGTTTATTACTAAATTATATTCAGTGTAATCGTTAAAGGAAACAGTTAATTTTTAATGAGAGACAGCATATCTTCACTGCAAACTTAGTTTATTGCAACACCAAAAGTAAAGGGCAAATCCAGATCACACTATGGTTATTGGCAAGAGGCATGTCGGTAAGTAACATTCAAAAGCACTGGTACTATTGTGTCTAGAGCCCTTCAATAGTGTTTTATTGTCAGAGTTTATAGATGTTTTATCTTCATGGCCTACTGTATATTTTCAACTTTTTAATGCTGCTTTAATTCTATTTTGAGATGTTTAAATACTATTGTTTATTTCTACTCTTAAATGTCTTCTTATGTGCAATGGTCCTTTCATTTTTCCCTTATTTCACCGGACAGGGGTATTTGAGTCAAGAATCTGACCAAACAGACTCCCCTCCTTCACAGAGTGGAGCATTGTAAAGCACTTTGAGCTGCACGTGCTGTATGAAAAGTGCTTTATAAATACAGCTTTATTATTATTATTATTATTATTATTATTATCGAGCCAGCAGCTGGTAACTTCTCACCCTGCTTGTATCAGGTCACTGCCATTAGCTCACCAGTGCCACTGTGCAGTTGTGTGGTCTTCAGGGATGAAACAGAGCCTCTCTGTGTTCTCTCGTCCTCCTGTGATGTCTGCTCTGGACCTGAGCTGAGAATCTCTGGAAATTTCCGTGCAGGCTTCACTCTGCCAGGACCTTTTGTAACCTGTTCAGGACTCTGTTGTGGTTCAGCTTGCCTTGGATGTGTTACTGCACTGATGATGAGTGAAGACTGTTGAGATGTTTTTATTTATGTCTGTGTAGAAAAGTTTGATTAGTAGACATGTTTTGGGAAGATTACGAAAACAGATGCTATTTGCACCCCGGAGTCTGTAGCTACAGTAACAATGCTATTTGCACCCGGGTGTCCGTAGCTAACAATGCTATTTACACCCGGGTGTCCATAGCTATTGCTAACTGCTATTTACACCCGGGTGTCCGTAGCTAACAATGCTATTTACACCCGGGTGTCCGTAGCTATTGCTAACTGCTATTTACACCCAGGTGTCCGTAGCTAACAATGCTATTTGCACCCGGGTGTCCATAGCTAACAATGCTATTTACACCCGGGTGTCCGTAGCTATTGCTAACTGCTATTTACACCCGGGTGTCCGTAGCTAACAATGCTATTTACACCCGGGTGTCTGTATTTAACAATGCTAACACCCGGGTGTCTGTAGCTAACTGCTATTTAAACCCGGGTGTCCGTAGCTAACAATGCTATTTACACCCGGGTGTCTGTATTTAACAATGATAACACCCGGGTGTCTGTAGCTAACTGCTATTTAAACCCGGGTGTCCGTAGCTAACAATGCTATTTACACCCGGGTGCAAATAGACACTCCGAAACTGTAACTCTGACCCAAATTTAAGCCTATCTTTCTTTTGCATGTTTTTTTTTTTTTTTTTTTTTCGTGATTTAAATTAATCTTGAAATTCTATGCAAACTGGAAATGCAACCTTTAGGCCCAGTTTGTACCTCTCATTTAAGTTACCATTAGGTTATCTTTTCGAAAACTAATTTTCTCTTTTTGGAGAAAACAAGAATTGCCTTTAGTTCTGAAGGCAATTTTCAGAAAAAACGAATGTGTCACCTACTAGATAAAGGTTTCAACCAGTTTCCTAAATTCTGACTTGTATTCCTTAAAAGGATAGGCTATATATTTAAGCATGAGAAGATGAAAGTCAGACATCTGCAATAATGAAATATAATATTAATAAACATACTATATACGTTTTAGTTTTGTTGATGCACTTGCTTTGCTTTGATTAAGAAATTGTCAGTGGTTTAAAATACTTAATTGCACGCCACAGCAGGAGTCTGTTTGAAAAAAAGATATGTGTAGACTTGGGTGTACCTAGTTAGTTTTGGTCTTTTAATGTTTTTGGCCATGCAGTTCTAACAATACAAATTAGGCAATATGCTTCTAAATATCTGCAAATGCTTGACAAAACCAGGTCCATACAGAAATACTTTTCCCAAATCGGTGTACAAGAAGTTCACAGCACTGAGCTCTGACCTTTGAGATGAACTAGAATACCAAATGCTAGCCTGGACGTATCGACCAACACTGGTACCTGACCTGACTGTAACCTCGGGGTTAAAAGGCAGAACGTTTCTCTAGTGTGGCTGAAAAACATTTTAAAAATCCTTCCTAGTAGGAGATATCATCGCATCAGATGCACATGGTTTTGAAAATGCAACATTCACATAGGGTTTCCTTGTCTGTCGAATACCTTTGGCCATTCAATGTAACCATGTGAATAAAAAATGTTACATGAGAGGCACAAACTAGGCCTTGGCTTCCACCAGTGTTTGCTCCATAAATTGAAACAAAAACCTCAAGTAGCAGTTAACTTCTCTTTTGTATCCGTTGTATCCTTAAATCACCCTTGAAAAAATGGGAACAATGAGCCTCTGTTAGCGTGACTCATTGAACATGTTTCTATTTTAAAGCGAGAGTCCAGGATAATATGTGCCTGCTTTTGGGGGAAAATGAACTTGAATGCAGTCAAGAGACTCCGGCATTGCCCAATGCTTTTATTTGTTTATCAAGTAACCATGGAAATGTCGTGCCAGGCTCGGGAAAAAAAGCCTGTGAGCAACACTGAGGGCCACAGACTCTGATAGAAATACTGCAGAGCGTTTGGAGAGCACTGCTGCTGGAAATTATTTTTCAGCTGCTCTTGCTTTAGCTTCATTCTTATGCATTTTTTTCCACGATT